TATAAATTTTATTATTACTTAGCTATTAGTTTAATTTTTGAAAGATGACACCCTATAATATGGAATCATACCAGCCTCAAATTGCAACGTTGCCATCAGGATACCTTTTATGAACTATGAATAATCATGTATTAATCTAAAGAATATATAATACACTTTCTCAAAAAGGTCATCATTTTGAATTTCTCATTTTCTCATGCTTCCACATCAGCAACTAATTATAATTATTTTTTATTTGTTTTCACAACCAACGAAACTGTTCTTTCCCTAATTTTTTGCTATAGGATAGTTATTGCCGAATTATTTAACCGGCAGTTTTTTTTATATAGAAAACCGGCAGTTTTTTTCCTAACCATTTAAGTTAGTTCTTGCTTCTTACAAAATATTAAAGCAGTTTGAGAATTGGCCCTTATCCACGTAAGCCCTCCTCAAAAGTTAGCCTGTCCACGTCAACGCTATATAAATCCTCTCTCCGGGAAAAAGAAATCCAGCCAGTTTATTTAACCCCTTGACTTCACAAGTCACAACCGCGCCGGCAGTTCCTTCTCTAATCTCCATCCTTTTTCATCCCCACGAGGCCGCGACAAAGCCTGGAAGAAGCAACTTCACCGTCGACGCAACGCATCCTTCGCTACCAATACTTCGAGCCTTCCACAACACCCCAAATCAAAACAACAAGCAATCTTGAGTCCACTCAGAGGCGATCCTATTTATATAGTCACGGCTCTCTGTCTGTGTCTCTGCTCTCAATCGGTTTGTGTATATGTTCTCCTTCCTCCATCTTTGGGGTTCTTCGGACAAGATGCTTTGTCATACTCGATTCCAAGTTCCAAATAGTAACATACTTCTCCGGTAATCATAGGCCAATTGATGTTTCAAAATCACAATATATACGATGGAAGTGTGATTCACGGATGAGAAGCAAGATTGGTAATTTTTGCCTTCATGCAGATTAAAAAATCCCTTCTTTCTCCAGTAAGAGATCGTCATCTGCCAAAACTATAAGAGAAGTCACGAATGCTTGTCACATGCATTGATATTATGTGAGTGATTAAGTTATTTTTTTCTCATTCTATTCGGTTGCTTTTATTCTTTTCATGCTGAATAATTTTAGGCCTCAAATTGTTGTTTGTGATGAATGTTAGTGCTTCACTTTCCAAAAAGGTCCTCTGTTTTCCTCTTTTGTTCTGCATTTTGTTTCCTTTGCTGTTTAATTTCAGGATTGATCTCTCAAGTTATTAGTCATCTCTAAATTGGTTGTCTCTAATACAATTAAAATATACTTAATTAGCCACATCAGGGTAATCAACCATATCATTATAGATACCTAAATCAAATGGTTCATTGTCTACTTTGCAGTTTTCAGTTGAGAATTGGAGACATTCAATTACATTCCGCTATAAGCAGAAAAGTTAAGAGAGTAATGTTCAATGAAGACATGACTTCCTTTGACTCTACGAACAACAACGCTAACTGATTGGCAAACAATCCCACAAATGACTACTATGCATGCATAGTATATCACCTTTCAATATTAGTTATATATTTGGGAACTTCTAATCCTTTCATCGTGCTTTATGGTTATCAACATTAGATGTTGAGTTTATACACTCAGACAAATTAGACACTTCAATGTTGATAAACTTTAGTAAAGGTGTTTATATTTATTCTAATCTTTGTATACCTATGGTTGTTTATTCATAAAGATAGTATGGTCGTCTATATTTCATGGCTACATGAAGTGAAATCCTGTTATTGAAACCATAAAAAAAACTCCATTAATTTGTAATCCAACGACCCAGACAACAAGTTGCCACACAAGAAACTGAATCCAAAATAAAACTAATCACGCGATGACATAGACTATCTTAGAAATAATAAAGAAAAATACGAAATAAAAATAAAACATGAATATTTTACCCGGCCAAAGGCCGGGCACAAAGCTAGTTCATTATTTGTCATGTTTACTTCCACATGTTATCTTTGTTTTTTCTTTGGCCAAACCACATAATCTCTCTTTTATTTATCCATGTGTATTTTTCTTATCTGATTATCTAATTTTATTCGGTAATTTTTATAATAATGGACACGTTGGTACTAAACTATTTTAATTAGGAATCTTATACAAGATTGTCAAACCGATTTACACCGTGATGTCGATTTAGTAAGTGAAATGATCCTGCCAGGATACAATCGATTTATGCCAATTTTGTAACAAAATATGCATAGAAAGTAGAATATTATTGAAAGCAAATGAAATATGCATATATGTAAGTTGTAACCTATCTCAATCCAATCTCACTACAATTTACATAAAACATTTAAATAAACCATAACATTATAAACAAAATGAGAAAATCTCATATTTAAATATACGCTATGTAATAGCCGCTATGTACTAAGAGTCATAAAAGTAGAATTACATACTAAAAAATTATTTAAGACAATCCTCAATTAAGGAATAATTTGAGATCAAGTAAAATCAATCAAAAGTTAAATATGACAACTAGTGATTGAGCATTTTTGTCAATTTTCTTTTCTAAATTTAACAGCCTAAATTCAGTGCAGGTTTTTTTTATTCAAAACGATGCACAATGCACAGAATTTAAAGGAGAGCGTAAAAGTGTGGGAGTTAAGCTTAACATGTAGTTTAATTTTTTATTTAGTTTTTTATTTTTTGGTCATCCCATGAGAGTGTGTTAGGTCTTCCTTTCAGTTTTTCTATCATTTTTTTTACCCGCGTTTCTTTCGTTTCAAAGTGAATTTGGATATTTTGGACATAGAAATCATATTTTATGTAATCTATATAACGATATTCATTTTTATATATGTTAAAAAATAAATAATAAGACCATGACTCACGAGCATGAGTATACGAACCATGTCCCTATTTAACAAAATTACTAGAAACATCAATATCACTAAGTTTTGTACCTCCATACAGGATTGACGCATATACCATCATAACTCATGGAGCAAGTTCAAATTTTACAGTGTTACTAAACTGTACAAATATGATTCAGTTTTCTACCCATAATGCATAACATATTCATGCATGTCTAAAACACTATCGTTGAGTATAAATCAAATTAATTATCTTATTGGTAAAAATTCGCCTACCGGCCAACTAGCCGGGTTCAAAGCTAGTTAATAAAATAACGATAATCAATTACTATAAAATATTATATTTGCATTATTATTAATGATAAAGTTAACACTGTGGCTACGTTACTTTGTATATTAGTTATAATAATCAGGCCAAGTACTCTTTGCTTTGATTTGCAGGGCATTGATAAACAAGTTTAATTATGCAGATAATTAAAATGTAAGTTACGTTGTGTTGGATAACCTAATATGCATTTGCATCTTTTTCTTCATTACGTTTACGTAATGAAACTTGTGCCTCAAATTATGGGTTGTTAATTGCTGCTTAATTAAGTCCATCAACAAATTTTTTTTCTTCCTACGATGGTTCCTTTTGATGGAGCCTTAGGGAGTAAGTAGCTTATTAGGTAATAACGTAGGAGTTGTGTTAATACGGACAACTAGTTTATGACATAATATCATAATTGGTTTGCTTAAATGATCGTATTTTCGAATTCTCACGGCTCATTGTTAGTAAACGGTATATGATCCACGATTGAACCTCTCCCAACAACTCGAGTTATTGTGAGCCACTGGTTCTTGACACAAAATATGCTGAGCATGTGCAATAAACTTCATTTGAGAACTGTGTATATGATCCATAATTAACCTTTCTCCAACAAATCCCAATCCCGTACCTATTATTCTTCTTCTCAATCCAGCTTCCTATTCTCCAATTTACGGGTTCCAAGATCTATCCCCAAATCACTTTTCGTGTCAAACGTTCTTGAATGTAACTCTTATCATCACTTCTATGTTAGTTGACCATCGAAAGTGAACCCAATTAGCCAAAAACCAGATCAAACTCATTATGCATTCACTTTGACGGTTAAGCTACGGTACAGGTTTGAAGAATAACAACAGTGGGGAAGTTGAAAGAAGAGGGGCCAGCTCTATGGCAATCATTTTCCTACAACCATTCTGGAAAAAACGTCGCAGTTAGCAGCACACCTTCATTTGTCTCGGCACCTAATTTGGACGAATATGGCGGGGGGGGCGAGTTTGTGGCCAACGCTTCAAGATATCAAGAAACAGTTAGCCATGTTTTAAGTTTTAACCACAAGTTTGAGAAGATGGGGAAATGTGGAGTTCGTATTGCTACAGTTCTTATGGTACGTTTGTTTCAGCCTTTCCCATCGTATCGTACTCAACTGCATGTTGCTCGTCTTCTTTGCTTTTTTGTCCCTCCACTTTCCACTTTCTTGGCATTAGTACACACGCCTTGCTGCGGCTTTTAGATGGATCTCAAATCCAATTTTTGCTGCTTAAGTGTCTGCAAGAAAGTGCTCACAAGTGCCATACATCGTTCAATCGTATACGGGTGGGTGATGCACGATCGTTAGATAAATGCAATGACAATTTCGTACATAAGTTACCATTACGTCCATCCAATAACCATGGAAGGATTTCCGACACCCCGATCCACGGTTGGTATGCGAGCACCACAGCTGGGTTGCCTCATATTGCTGCTGGCTAGGATTATCAACTACCTCCACTTAGGAATGGCACCAGGGTAGGGCATGGTGAGTCTCTCGAGGCTCGAACCATATTCTTATAGCGTTCTTCGAGTAATGCCGAATCAGATAATGTCTGTTACGAGCATGAGTTGGTGACCTTTCCGAGCATTCTTTCGAGTCCAGTCGAACCAGAACAATCTTCAATTTATGTTGGGGAGGAAAAACAATTGATATCAAGTAAACATTATACAAGGAGCAAAGTAGCGGGAACCGAATACTGCTTCAGGCGGGCAAATACAAAGCCAACGCTCTCTATAGTTAAGTTCCATAGAAATATCCTATTTTTGGACTGGATGAAGTTTCTATAAAGAATTACGTTTACCCATTACCAGAGCGGGACTAGTTTCGCCTTCTCTTGCCTTCCCCGTACTCATCTTCGCCCTCATTGTCTTTCAGAAATCCCAGGAAGGCTAGAAAGCCGAATAGAAAGAAGCCGCCAGACCAGTTCCCTCCACCACCTCCACCGCCGCCACCTCCACCATCATCACCCGGTGGAAGTCCAGGCCCTCCATCATCGATCTCCGGCGTCTTTGTTGGTTCTGTAGTTCAACCCCACATGTTATTGGCAAGCAGAGAACATAGGCACTCATCTTTATCTACAGTGACCTTAAGCCCCTAATGCCACCACAATAAACACTTAACCTTACACCACCATCGACATACTGTTTTTTATAAATACCATCAGCATGTTATTGTGCTCTGCCATATTTTTTTTATAAAATGGAATGCAAGAACCCCGTCAATATGCAGCACAAAGTTCTATAGCACAGGCATTTGGCATTTTGGCAATTTGGTATAAACAAGGAGAAAGTAGCAGTTACCTCGTACAGGGGCCTGGGTAATTGTCGGTGACTGCTTAAGCACGGTTTGAGTTTGTCCAGAGGCTGAGCACCTTGCATTCTGCAGCAAGTAAAGTAAACACCTTATAGTTCTGATTTTACATTATGCGATAATTTCATACGAGAAGGAAAAATACAGAAAACACATATAACTAATGCTTTCATACTAATTCAACCAGAAACATGAGCATGTTCAGTTAATCGCCCTCAGAAGTATTAAGTTATATAGAGCATAAATCACTTGGGTAAGACAAATAGAACCACCAAACTTAGACCCAGGAAATGTGATCGAAGAAGGGATTATTTGGCAAGAGAGAACGATCCGGCAACTCTAAACCAAGTAACCACCAATTCCAAGAATAGTCTACCACATGCAGAGCAAGGATAGCAAAAGAAGCTTTCCATAACATGCCCCAGAAGTGAAAAGGTTATATACGTTGATTCACAGGAAAATCACCCACTTTCTCCTCAGATACTAACAGCACATACGATATTTGTCAAAAAGAAAAATCATATGATCATTATATAGGACAAAGATAATCAACAGACAATGAAGCAACTTGTTTCCCGTAGCAGTTCGATGAGACATATTCAACAGCTGAACTGAGCCCTAGAAACAAGAGCAGACAAGGAGGCGAACATTCAAGAATGAGAGCAGAAGCAGCTTTAAAACAAAAGTTCAAAGAAAGATTCAAATGAGATAATCATAGACACTGTCACAGCCCAAACAAAAGACTCAATTGCTGCTTCCTTCTAAAGTATACTCAAACTGCACAAGCCAACTATTGAACATCTGAGTTACTTTTGCTACCACAATTCCCTCCACAACCATTAGACCCATGTACAGTTATCTTTAAAAAATTACATTAAAAAGGACAGACCACACTGAAACAATTAATTTAAGACAATTAAGCATCAAGAGTAAAATAAAAGCATGTAAAGCATCTAGTCTCACCAGAGCAACAGAGCACACAATAGCAGGAGACTGGGTCCTTGTGGGATTAGACAATAACTGCGTGGAAAGCCTCACTGGTCTAGAAATCACAAGTCTATGATGCCTCCTCACATTCAAAGGTTGGAAGTGCAACATGTTCCTGACCGGCTTATCATTTTGCTTGCTTTGGCCATTCCATTGACCCTTGAGGTTTGCTATACAACAAACATGAAACGTGAGTGTCTCTCCCAATTGATAACTTTGTTATTATGTTATGCTGTAAGAAAGACCACTGTGGAGAGAAGTCAACTTCTTCTACTACCACCAGGTATTATGTGCTGGGTATGTGCTATAACAAGTAGTCTAGTAAGTTTCATTCATCGATGGCAAGAAAAAGCCAAACTCTAGTAATTATTCTTTCCAAAGTATGTGACTTGGCCTACTCAACCTAGCATATGAACAAGCTAGTGTGCACGTCAAATTGCACCAAAAGAGAAAGGAAATAAAGGACTAACTCGCATGGTACCATCAGAAGAAATCGAAAAAGCAGAGCAGTTTCTAGTATGGATCAGATACTTGATTGAGGAAGACTATCACTAGGCATTCAAATTGCAAGGCTTCGACGTCACAAGATTTTGAAACTTCACCGCTATAAAATTTGGCTCTCAAACTCCAAACTATAAGAACTTTAGACAGGCACAACAATGTTCTCGATTCAAAGTTCGGGGGTTCATTTCTCTTATTTTCCAATGCTTGCGCCATAGTAGTAAGCAAGGAAAACTGATAATTGCGGAAAAAAACTGCTGACACATCCGAATAATATAATTTTAAACATCAGCCAAGTGCGTAATCTAAGCAATACCTGGGGTTACCAGAGGTAAGGAGCTGACAGCAAAGGCTACAGGCATCCTGATGAGAAAAGCGGAAATAACAAGCTTAGTGTTATGCTAATATGATCTGAAGGGAGTGCGGCAGCTATATTAACAAGAAGTAGCCAAATATCACTACTCACAACTGAAAATTCAAAGATGAACAAACATAATTTCCTTTAATCAAAGTTCCTCCTATAAAGTGAGGAGCCTTATTAATATATCAATGTGAATATGAAAGGCCCTCCAAGTCATTTCATTTCCCATCTCCCACACATCAACATTCCAAACAGCTCGTACGATTCTGAATGCAAAGCAGTAATAACAAGTCCAAAGAAACAATGTCTAGTGGAAAAATTTTCGAGGGAAAACTATAAATGCACGTCACATACAAGTAGTAGGTAGGAATAGTCAGATAACAACGTCTAGTGGTAAGCAATAAGAAGAGAGAAAATAGCACACAAGAATCCCACTCTCTCCGTGGGTACACACATATAGAAACTATTTGAAGAACACGGGGAGAGGAACAAGCCCATCGTTCATGTAATCTCTAAAAGTTTCGCCATTTAAGGGGAATTGCTTGTATTCCAAAAGTTTCACCATTTTAGGGGAAAATGCGTGAGCAGAGCAAAATGCTATATCGCCAAATGATGCATGTAGCAAACAACGCAGGATTAATACACAAACAAACCAACTCTCCGAAAATGATAATTCTTCAACGACATACTCCAGCTCCAGCTAACAAATGAGAGTTTCTCATAGGAAGGAACAAACTCCATGTTCATCAGCCACATTCAAAGCACATGGATCAAACAAAGAAGCCTCTAATACCTTTCCCATTCCATCACAACAAAAGCCAACAAATCCAGTCAATGTCAAGCGAGCCAAGAAAGGCAACTACTAATGGACGCCTATCTGTCGAAACTCAGTCCAATTGAAGAAAAGCAAAAACAGCACACCTAGGGTTCGGTTTTGTCGAATTGATTACGAAACAAAGCCAGATATCCTCTCTTCCCGTCGGGGAAGCGCGCGACGCGAGGAAGAGGAGACAAGCAGCAAGGCGACGGACTTCCGAAGGCAAGCCTCACGATTTCCGTTCGAGCGCCTCTATCTTTCTCGATCTTCCCTGACACCGAAGGTCGATGGTTGCGGCGAGCCGAGCTCGCTTTCTCGGTCGAACTCTTCCCTCTTTCGCCCGCGAATTATTTTGTTGGAGCCTCCAACGAGCAGATGACTTGGTTGGATAATTTGGCTTTTAAAGTAGACATTGAAAGTATCCATTTGGATCCTCAAACTTATCTATTTTTCCATCCAGATCTCTTAACTAAAAACTATTCTGTATAAGCCCCTAAACTTATCTTTTTCCATCCAGATCCATTCGGCGCTCGACTCAGGAGAAGCTCGTTCGAGACTCGACTCGTTTGTTGACGAGTCGAGCATGAGCTAAGCCTTGTTCAGCTCGCGAGCTAACTCGACTCAGTGGCTTGTTGAGCTAAACTAGTAAGCTGGCTCGTTTAAAGCTCATGAGATGTCTCACATTGCCGATAGAGAGCCAACTTGATTACCGACTTATAGGCGAATCGATGTATATCTTAGGAGTTTCATTCATATTATTGTTAAATTATATATCTCACCCTATATGAAGTTTAACACAATGAGTATGTGAACAAATATATATTATTTTTTACTTTAAAAAGAGATTTTATATCGCAGATTGCTTCGATACTGTTAAATAACATGATTTGGACTAGTTAAAATTTAGGGTTAATATTTTCGTATGACCTGAATTTTTACCAAAATAAACATCCTGGCCAATCTTTTCGATCTATAACAACCTGGCCCGAACTATACACCAAAATAAACAATTTGGCCAAACCCGATGTTTAGCCGTTAACTTGGACGGTCAAATGCATTGACTAACGGTCAACGCGCCACGTCACTGCCAAGTCAGAAGATCTGATAAATATTTAATTTTTTTCGTTTTTTATTTTTGGTTTAACTAATGTATTAGATGATTTTTTTTAATTTATAATAATTTAAAATTAGCGAATGTGTGGAAATTGTGAATTATTTTGAATATTTTATGCTGACTTGGCAGTGACATGGCGCGTTGACTAACGGTCAACGCGTTTGACCGTCCAAGTTAACGGTCAAAAGTCGGATCTGGCCAAATTGTTTATTTTGGTGTATAGTTCGGGTCAGGATGTTATAGATCGAAAAGATTGGCCATGATGTTTATTTTGGTCAAAGTTCAGGCCATACGAAAATATTAACCCTAAAATTTATTAACTACATGATATGGTACCAACAAAGTATAATATAAGATTAGTTAATATTGAGCATTTGACTATTATTATTTTTTCATCATGACATCAATCACATGTATCATACATTACATTCAAAATGAAATATCAAATACGACTCAAGATTTTACTAAATAAGCCTAGCTCTAGTCGGCTCGTTAATAAATGACTCGAGCTCAGGTCAGCTCGTTTATAATGAGCCAAGCTCAAGTTGGGGTAAAACTCGAATCGGCTCGGCTCATTTGCATCACTGCATGAATGTCACTATTCCAAAATTTTAGTATTTTGACGGTAAAAATTATTACAAAACTATTGACGATAGCGTAAAAATAGCTAATATTTTGATATATTACGAAAAATTTGACTAATCAATTTTACAAAATATTAAAACAGTTTGGAAAAGGCCGGTTGCCACGTAAGCCTCGGAGCATTGCCCGCAAGTTTCGGTACTATTAGTTTTTCCCCTTTTTTTGTTTTTGTTTCTGTTTTCCCTTTTTTTTTTTTTTTTTTTTACCTACATTTCAAATTTACCAACCCACCTGAAAAAAATAACAAAATAAAAGGGTAATTTATTCAGGATAATATTCACCAAGCAAAAGTATACAAAAAATGTGTGCAAGTTCCTACTATAGTACATTAAAATTTCATTATTTCAATAAGAATTTTCAAATTTGAAACCACAAATTTTAGAAAACAAATTTATTATAAGGACTGTAAATCATATAGGTTGTACTTAAAAAATCAACATAGGATATTGGTGTTGAAATCATGGTTTAACTATCGTTCAACCATTTCATATCATTTGCAGCTGCCAACCGATTTAACTATTGGTATGAGACCTTTTAGGTCGAACTACCAGTATAGTACAGTTTTAGACACTGATTAACTACCGAACGAGCATATATACACCAGAAATTTGTAGCATATATTATTCAAGATTATGGATTTGATTGTCTTCAATTATACAAATCGTTACATAAGACGCTACTCTGAAACTTGATAAACAACCAGTTCACTAAAACAAATAAAATTATAGAAATACTCCCCCAAAAGAATGGGTCGATATTAAAGAGTTTAACCATAATAAATTGACATAATATTTAAAGAATGAGAATTTTTTAAGGTATGTTCATGATAGATTTAGTATATAAACAATATTTCTCGATTAAGAGTTTAATATCATCGCTTACAAACATGCATTCTTTATATTAAAGAGCATTTCTATTATGCTATAAAGAATTCGTACTTTAATGTACAACTTTGTACTATAACGTTAAATGTATAAGTTTAGGTTGTACTATTACGTTAAAAATTAAAATTGTATCGTTACATAAATGTAGAAGTTCATGCACTTCATGTTGTACCATAAAATAGTATAGGTACAATATGAAGTTGTAACATAACATTAAAGGTAAAATTTCAAGTTGTACCATAAAGACAAAACCTTATAGCACCAATGCTATATAAAATTATAAAAGTCTTCTATATTAAAAAACATAAAAATGTCAATTTAGAAATTAGTTTATCTAAAATTAAAATGCAATATTCTTGAAATAATATGTAGAATTCTGTTGTAGAGGTAAAAAAAAAAAAAAAAAACGGGAACCAGTTCCTCTCCCCTCTCTCCTTTATCGTGTTCCTTCGCGAGTGAGTGGAGGGGGTTTCGCCTTCGTGCGCAGCGGCTGTTACGGGCAAATAGCCGACGTGCGGCGCCCTTTTCTGGCCGAGAGGGCTAGCATGGGCTTTAAATCGCCAGGAGATTGCGTCTCTGGCGTACCCATTCATTCTGATTCTTCTATTTCTCTGATTTGGGAGGTGGTTGGTTTGTTTCTGAGACTCAAAGCAATGGCGGTGGTTGTCCATTTCAACGATGAGGATGTTGCTGCTGGAGCAATTAGGGAGGAACGATCTCTAATTGGGCGACTGGTGGGGCTGCCGTCGGCGCTACATGCGGTGAAATCGACTCTTTCCCGAGCATGGCAGTTGGACAGCGACTTCACCATCTCCTCGATGGACTTCGGGTTGCTGCATATCATGTTCTCTGCTCCAGGCAGTGGCGGATCCAGGGGATGGCCACCCCGGGCCCCGGCCCAGCCCTCCTTTGGATCCATAGTTAGTATAGGCCTTATGAATTTTTCGATTTTAGATATTCGGGTCATTGTTATTTTAAAATAAGATTGGATATAATTAGAAAAACAATTCAGATGAACATATTAAAAATCACTACTATAAATTTAGCTTATAAATTCTAACCCCAAAGGTTATTCGTCTAAAAAAACAATGAAACCTAAAAATTCAAAAAATTTAAAACGTAAAAGACTAAAACATATATGAGGTTTGTTACCTTGGAAAATTTACTAGAGCAGCTGGTGGATATAGGGATGGAAACACAATGCAAATTGATTAGTTGATTGATTTGTCTAGTGTTGATGCTGCTCGTTTCAACAACTAATACGAATAGAACCTTTTTAACAACGAAACATGTGAAAATTGATTTGCGCAACAAAATGAGCGATGGATTTCTAGTCGATTGCTCAAGTATTTTATTTGAAACAGTGTATACTATTGGTATGGATGTGGACTCCATTATTAATGCATTCGCTAAATTAAAATACCGTCGTGTACAATTTACATTGTAAAAAAATTATAATTATTATATTTTTTTACTATTCTAATTTTCTAATAAAATGCGGCCCAGTGCACTTCTGTGTTCTGGATCCGCCGCTGGCTCCAGGA